CCTACAGAATTGCGCTCACACGCGCTCCCCCTCCCAAAGGTTCGCTCACGTGTGGAGGATCACTCGCTCCTAGAGAATCTCAATGCAGACACAACGCAAAGATGTGCACTGAACAGCACTTTCCAGTTATTGCTACGGACACGGACTCAGTTGCTGAGACAGCATTTAAGGTGACAGTTCATGTCACTATATCAACAACCGACTCACATCCTCAAAACGGTGCTAATGCACACAAGGTTGGGCTGTGGAACCCAGCCATATTTTACATCCATTACTTAATCTGATTAGATTAGTACCTACTGTTACCCAGGAAATTAGGAAATCGAACTGGATGCATTTTTAGTTTTTTCCTAAAGAAGGAAAACAAACCCCACCAGCCTCTGTACTTTCTGCATCAGAAAGGTTAGCTATACGGCACCAAACCGCTCTCATGCACAACAAAGATGATTTCAGGCCTTGGCTTTACACGTGTTTAGCTGTAAAAGCACCCACGTGTACATGGCCCATGAAAATATGTTCAATATTAATGTGTCAGTTGTGCCCAGAACAGCTTTGAAAATATCCCTGCCTTCAGAACTGAAGGGGAACCCCACTGCAAGTTAGGGCTATGGGCTGGAAGTGGGGGAGGCGATCAGACCCAAGAGCTGCAGTCATAAGGCATCACGCCGCCATGCAGCTCGTCAGCAGGCGGGAACCCCAACAAAAGCATACCAGCAGCTCGGGAGGCCCATCTTCCGCATCCTCCGCAGACTGCTCTTCTCCAATTTTACTGTAAGAAAGCAGGTTATTCTTTTTATTAATAATGAAAACTGCATCTTTTATCAGCTTAACTTTACGGTTCCCTAGCCTTTGTTTCCAGCATTTGCTTCTGCTATTGGGTTTTCCTCACTGTCAGGTAACCGAGAGCCTCAGGCAGAAAAGAACCACCATTTGGCGTTACCATTACTGAAACAGAATCCAAGGGGTGAAGCACATGGAGGCAGAAACCACTTATTACTGAAGACAACAGAAAACCATTCTATCAGCAAGAAACCCTCACAGACAAGTAACATTAGAAGGTTAGAGTGCTGCTTCTCCTGTACTCCCAGAGGACCAGGTCTGAGTTAAGCAAGCAAGGCAGGCTAGAGAATAGCACAAATCAGCTCTTCAGCCACCTTTTTACCATCTGTTCATGTATATACTAAAGGAAAGGAATTGCTCTTCACCTCAGGTCCCATACATTAAGCCGACGATCAGTACCACTTGAAGCAAGAATTGTTTCATTATGAGGAGACCAGTGAACCTATTGAAAGAAAACAACTTGACTGGAGCACTGATTTTGCTGATTTCTAAAGTACACCCTGAATAACCAGCACCTGGCCACTAATGTTCAACACCTACACTCCATAGATCAGTTTATTTCAGCACAAAGGACAGCCTACAGCTCAAATAGAGTGCTTTAAAGCCTTAAGATTACCCAAATTCAACAGCCAATGTTATTTCACTGTTACAGATTTACCACATGATGAAATTTCATTGTCTAAAATTTACTTGCACCTTCTAAACAGACAAGAGTTCACAATATTAGATTTCATCCCAAACCCTCTCTGAAGCAGGACATTTTAAGAGAAACCTTCTACCTCTATGGAGGGAACTTGCACACTTCTCGTATCTTTTTAGCAATAAGTTGTTCACTACTTGCTTCAGAGTCAAGTGGGGAAAGGTAGAAAGAAACTATGTGGTACTATCTGTATTTGTTGAATCAAAATTCACCATTTCATGTTTAACAGACTGACTTATCGAGGCTGGTCACCACATGAAAATCTACATGTTCTTGTCCAAGTCAGTATCCTTCTAGTTTGTTTTTTTCTTCCCCTACAGCTTGTGAGAAAAGTTTACCCACCTGAAAAATTTCATCTTTATGAGACTCAAAAGAATGCAATTTCAATTTTAAGTTTCGAAGATCCCACAAAGCCACCGTCTGGGAAAAGCAACAAGAAATTGGTTTTACTAAGATGGCTACAGAACTGTCATCTGAAATATTTGTAAGTGTAAAGTATACACAAGTGAAAACCTTGTCAGCAGAACCAGTTGCTAGAATGAACTCGCTGTAAGGATTGAAGGACAGACAGTTGACCTCGGCTGTATGAGCATCCACAGAATGACTTGGCCTGGACGTGGTGTTAGATCTTGTGTCCCAGCTGGTGCAATGAAGGGTTGGGGGGAGAGCGAGGGGCAGCAAGCAGAATGCAAGAGAGAAAGATTGACCAAGCGTAAGTTTTCACAGGAGGTTCTTTTTCACTACACTACACATTAGTTCAGAGACTACATTATTATTAGACCTCCTCTGAAGCTACAGCTTTCATTCCATAGCCTTTTAGTATTTTGTGTCTGCTGTACACGAGCAGGTCACACCAGGAAGCTGACACACATTAATTGCATCTTATTTCCAAGCAATGTGAACACACGAAGTGACATGGAGGTTTCAGTGATTCTGCAGTGTTACTACAGTTGACTGCACTAAAAAGCTACGCGAGATCATTCCACAAATCAAATTTCTTAAATCCAAGTGTTCTGGACTGGTCCACTAATAGCACAAAGCAGGCACTGTCCAGAAATCGCTTAACCCTAACTTACATCATCAGCTTCTGATCATCAGCCACGGATCCAAACAGAGACTCGTGGAGCAGATGCCACGCCACGTCTTCTACTACTGCAGAGTGCCCAGTAAAGATTGCTTTTGCGTCAACAACTCTGCCTTCTTTTGGGCCAGCGCTTACATCCCACAAACACACAGTCTGCAAATGAGAGTCATATTCTATCGTTACACAGACTCTGACTGCATCATCTTTCAAACACATCATGGATCACATTCTACATACAAACAGAGAGATGGCACTCCTGAAACAGCTCTCTGATTTTGAAAAGGAACACTTAATATGCCACAAGCGAGAAGTGAGCTAAGTTATCCATTTTCTGTAAGTTCAAGGCCCAACGATTATTTATAAGGTCACAAAAGTAATTTACACTTTTAAAGCCCACTAAGAAATTTACAAGCTATTAGTTCAATTGACCTTTGAGAGTCTCACTAATTCATGGCCTCAGACCTAAGCCACTTTGAAGAGTTGTTAAACAATTTCTTCCAGCAGACAGCTATAAAAACATTCTGTTCTTACTTCACCATGAATGCTACAAAGAACTGGTTGTTGATTACCGCCTGAAGTCAACTTTAGCAACATAATTATAACACGTGGGAGGTTCCCCACATAACAATACACAGCTATGTTAGCCCAGTATTTCCCTAATTATTTATTACAGCATAAAGTAGGAGGGGTTGTTTGGTTGGGTTTTTTTCTTAAATAGGCAAAAAAGATATATTTTTTTACATGATCATCTGAGGCACTGAGAAGATGTCCACTCAAATTCGAGTTCCATGATAAGCCATAGCCTTCCTTCTGGTGCCCTCTTAATCTGAGGTCAGGGTTACACTCTCCACTTGGGTCTGAAAGGGACGAAATTTCTTCCATTTAGCTTCACCTTGCACATCAATCCATAAGAGCATCGCTACCTACGAACTTCGTTTCCGTCATAATAATCATATTTTATAGATCAGCCTCTTAGAAGGCTGCTCCTTCTATTGAGATTCTCTTATGATACTAAGCATAACCAGGCAGTTAAAGTCACCAAAGAGGTGAGCCACCTTATTCACATTCCAGAGCCCATGGCCCCTTCCTCCCAATTACAGGTAAATACAAGTTGAGCCTTCAACAACAAGGGGTATTTTGCTTAGCTTCACGGAGTCTGACCCACCTGGTTTTGAAGGATGCTTACTGTAGTCAAATACCAACACATCAGCAGACGGTGTTTTTGTAGCAATGATGCAGGGATTCTGTGGCATGTAACGAGCACGGTTTACTTCACCTTCATGGTTAATTTTAATCTCTGTTTCAATTTTGCCAGTCACGGATCCAAAGCCACCAAACTCTACATCGGTCAGAAAAAGGTCAGTTTCCCACACCAACATTTAAGTGGGTGAGAGAGTATTACACGCCATCTCCCCCACTCCAAGAAACAGTGGTAAGCATCTTGTCGTCATACAATAAAGCCTATGAAAGACTAGCACCATGTGACACAACAGCATTAACACTCTAGATACTCTGAATCCTCTACAATACAAACTCTTTCAGAGCTTTAGTCTCCACTTGAGGTAGATGGGTGTCTGTTTCCACCCCAACTGACAGAGCTGGTAGAAATACTAGTAGTAATTGTGTACCAATGTTACCCAAGTTCTTTTGAAATAAGAGGTTTTCTCTGTTTAGCCACAATTAATGATCTAGAATTAGTGTGAGCTGGTAAGTGTATGTCAGCTTATCCTGGTTTCAGTTGGGACAGTTCATTCTCATATAGCTGGTATAGTGCTGTGTTTTGGATTTAGTATGACAATAATGTTGATAACACACTGATGTTTATAGTTGTTGCTAAGTAGTCGTAGTGCTTATACTAAGTCAAGGACTTTTCAGCTTCCCATGCGCTGCCAGCGAGGAGGCTGGGGGATGCACAGGAAGCTGGAAAGGGACACAGCTGGGACAGCTGACCTCAACTGGCCAAAGGGATATTCCCTACCATATGATATCATGCTCATTATGTGAAACTGGAGTTGGCTGGGGGAAGAATCACTGCTCGGGGATCATCTATCAGTCACTGGGTGATAAGCAGTTGTTGCTTTGTGCATCACCTGGTTTTACATATTCCTTTATCAGTAATATTATTACTTCCTCTCCCTTTGCTGTCCTATTAAACTGGTTTTCTCTCAACCTACAAGTTGTTTTCCAATTCTCCCCCTTATTGCACCTGTAGGTGGGGCAGATGAGCAGCTGTGTGGTGTTAGCTGCCAGATGGGAATAAACCACGGCACAGCCTTAGTATTTAACAGAAAGTCAGAATACCATTAGACAGGACACTTAATGCTGCTGCTAAAACATCACCTAAGAATACATGCATACCCACCTCCTTTCTCACTGTCATACTGCGAGGTATCAAACTGATCATCGTTGGGAATCTGGACTCTTGCAACAACCAGGTGATTCTGTTCATCAGACGTGTGTGTTCCCAAAACCAGCCAGTGTAGAGCATAATCCTTTCCTTCTGGCCTGTTTAAAGTAATCAGTGCATGGAATCATGTTATGTGCTCAGTTTCAGAAACGTGATAGCTAGCTAGCATCAATAACACTCAAGCTCCAAACTTCTTTGGAAAGCTAGAAAAGAGAGACTTACGTAAAAGATCCTTTCTTTGTCGCAAAAGACTTGTGCAATAAAGTGAACTAGACAAAGTAAGGAAGCCCACAATACGACCAGCAAGGCTAGAGCAACAACACAAGCCAGTAAACACTGCCACTACGGCTTGAAAGGGACAATTACCGTTTGCACAGTAGTTAGAGGTGACACTAATACCTACTTCTGTCTTTACTTCCCCTAGCAGTTGCACAGTATTGATTTAGAAAACAATCAATACTACTTTCTATAAAACAGAAATACTGAGGACAAGTGGCAATCTATTTTAGTTACTCCTCTTAGAAGCTGTTACCAGTTATTATTTCAGAAGCTCATTTTTACACACAAATCCTCGCTAACTAGGATCCAATTTCTCTTCTGGTGGTTAAATGCAACATTTCGCAACAAGTGAAAGGCTAGAGGGACAGCACCATTTACCTCTGAAAGGAAAAACCTGATCAAGTAACTTCTGTTTGCTTGGATTCAGACAGCACAATTAATTCATTGCTTTCAAGAATGCAGGAATCACCTGGGCAATCATAAACCACCATGGGTATCACTACATCACTTCCAAGGTTCCGTCACACATTTTGAAAAATGAAAAAGAAAAATACAAAACAAAAAAAACCCCACACAATGCTCATGCACTTACTTGCGTCACGACAGGTGTCCCATCATGTCAGGTGCCATACAAAGAGACAGTCCTTGCCTTAAATGGCTTACATGTTTTGACACTGGGTAATTGGAAATACCAGGTTTTAAACTGAATATTAAGTCAATCTGCAAAATACGAGGCAAGCAGAAGTGTTCCTCATAAGGGCTCCGCATCCTCGCACCCCCACTTCCTTTTCTCCATGCCAAGACTAGTTAGCTCACATCTCCCAGCATCTTCCCCAAACATTCCATTATACAAAATTAAGTGATCAACGAACCACCAAGTGCAACATCACATATCTAAGGTGGAATTTTAAAGAGGGAAGAGGCTACCCTCTGATTATTGCATTAACTTTACAGAAGACATTATTTTAAAATAACACAGCTGTACCCAAGTTTACAACAGCATGAGGGACTCAGTCCTTGTTCACTACCTCACTGTAGCCCTGAGTGACTACTGCAACAATTTTAATTCCGTAGTAGCTGGCACATTAACAGAATCTATCCTCTGCCTTCAAAATTCTTCAAGAAATTTAGTGAGCCCACAGTTTTCAAGGGGAGGTAGAAGAACTGAAACCTTAAAAATATGTGAAGTCAACAGCGAGCCAGGGACAGAACCAGGATGTGAAGCACCAGTCTTAGAACAACATCCTCTTAAGCAAGCACAGACTTAAAACAACATCAGACATTACAGCTGCTACAAAATAACAATCTCCAGTGAACGTGAGGAAAAACAGTCTTTAAGAAAAAGACAGTATAGTACATACATTCCTCTGATCAGAATTAATTATAGAAGAGTGTTAGGTATCTTACATATGAATAAACTGTGAAAGACTTCTCGCAACACGCTCAGCTAAGCTGGAGTTCTGTAAAGTATGAAATTGTGACTTTTCTCCTCAAAGCTTCTGCATACTCAAGGGGTTTTTAAAGTTGTAAGCAAAAATAAAATGTTACAAGTTCACAAAAAGGAGTCTAACCCAAATTATTCTTGTCTTGCATGGCTTTTATTCTCAAATTACTTAGCAGACATGGTTAAGAGACAGAAAAAGTGGTTAAGCAAGAATTTGCACGCAGCCTCAGCACCCGCTTCACAAACCATGCCACTCAGCAGCTGAGCCCCGTGCCTCCCTGGCACCTTCCAGGCCTCTCCTCCCCACTCTCACCTGGTCACATCAGGCAACCACTGCACGGTGAGGCTGGGCCACTCCAGAGCGTGGGTCATCACCAAGTCGTACAAGAAGGGGGTGTTTTTCTTCCAGATCTTGTACTCCTCACTGATGACGCGCTCCTCCACCGTGTCCTCCAGCACTGCGGGAAGGTAAGGAGATGAAGCGGCTAAACCGGGGCCTGCATAAAGCTAGGAGGGGCGGGGGGGCGCCGCCACGGGCCGGGGCTGTACCAAGGAGGGG